AGAGCGCGGTTCTCCGCTCCCTTTGTGCGCTCCGGGAGCCGCCCCCCCCGGCTCGGGCGGCGTGAAAAGTTTTTGCAAGTCCTGGATTGGTTTGTTTAGGGGGTTTTTTGCCTTTCTTTTTTTTGTTCTTTTTTCCTTTTTGCTTTTTTCTTTTTGCTTTGAGTTTCTTTTTGATTTTTGGGGGCGGTTTGGGGTGGGTTTTTTTTTTTTGCTTTTGGGGTTTGTTTGTTTTGCGTGTTTTTGATTTTGGGGGGGGGGGTTGTGATTTTTTTTTTCTTCTTCTTTGCTTTTTTCAAGTAGGGAGAAGGATTTGCCATTTTCTCGATCTGGTGGCTTTGCCTCCGCTTTGTGTCTGCAGGGGGAAGCTGCCTGCACGCCTGCCCACCAGACTACCGAGCGGGGCGCTACCTGTTGCGGGGTGGAGGGGCTGTGGGCTGCTCAGCAAGACACTGCTCGTGCTGGATGGGCTGTGCCACGGTCCCTGCACTGAGGCAGCCTGGGGAAGGGGCCTTCAGGGCCCCCCCTCTTGGCAGGGCTCCAGAGCTGTCCTTCAAATGACAGCAGTTACAAGAAGTTGCCTCTGATGGTCCCCATCGTCTGCCTCTATCACCCATTGCACAGGCAGCAGAGAGCCTGCATGCTCCTAAACAGTAACTGTTTTGCATGGATTTTTCTCTCCTCAGTGGCTATGACTTTCCAGCTCAGAACTTTTTCTCCTGCAGAGGTTTTTCCTCCCAAATGCTTGATTTTTGCCTACGGCACGTAGCTCCTGTTGAGCTCAACTTGTGTGTGCTTCCCTTAAGCCCATAAAGTCTCTGCAGACCTCCAGGGGCTCCGTTCAGGCGAACTAAAGTGGTGCGGGGTGGGTTGTTGTCTGTACAAGTGCTTGTAGCCTCTCATCTGCTGGGAGGGAAGGGTTGGCCTCTGCAGATGTTACTGTGTGATTGTGCCTGGATTATTCCTTCCCCCAGCCCGGTTAGGACGGGGGTAGGCTAACCCCCCTGCCTTTGAGGGGGTGAGGGGAACTGTATTGCTGTGTTCTTACCCCAGTTTCCCTACTCCCTAGCTGGGGCACCACGTGATGTGTACTGTTTGGTTTCCACGCTACTAGGCTTTAACCAGGAAAGATCTGCAGGCAGCTCCACCATGTCGGATAGTGACCTCGGGGAGGACGACAGCGCCACATCTCTGGACCTGTCTCAGTCGAATAAGAGGAAAAGAAGGGGAAATCTGCCCAAGGAGTCCGTGAAGATCCTTCGGGACTGGCTGTATGAGCACCGCTTCAATGCCTACCCCTCTGAACAGGAGAAGCTCAGCCTCTCTGGACAGACCAGCCTCTCTGTGCTGCAGGTAAGAATGAGTCCCCGCAGCCCGACCACAATGCACATGTGTCCCAGACGCAGGCTGGGGATGCTCTGCAGGGCACTCTGTGACAGTGCTTGGGACAGACTGGTCTCGGGGAACTCCTCTGAGGATCCCAAATGGCTTGGCAGGCTCGAACTGTTGTATGTGGGCAGACCCTTTTTGGGAAAGGTGTGTATTCCGGGGACCTGTTTTATGACAGAGATGGAGCAGAGCTTTTTGGCTGAACAAAAGATGGAGGGACTCAGATAGGGACAAACTAAGCAACACCCCATCTGTCAGTAAAAGTTGCTGTGGGTGGGAGCTTTCATGGGGCTTTCTAGCCAGTGCTGCTTTATTTTATTTCCCCAAGCACCCCCCCAGCAAAAGGGGCTGGAAAAGCCCTCTCTCCACTTGCCAGATCAGAACCTTTGAGAAATCCTAGACAGGAGAAAACTGCTCCAGGGGAGAGAGAAAGCCAGCCAGGGCTGGGGGTGAGATGGGCTTTGAGCTCAGGTGGACTACTAGCAGCCCTAAGCAACAGCTTGCCCACCTGTCTCCAGTTAAGTGGGTTACATTAAGGGGAATGCAGCCCAGCTGAAGGGCTCCTAGGTAGGAGGGCTCTCCTGCCATGCTGGTTGTGAGCACTGATGGTCTTATTGTGGTGCTAGGTGCCTGTACAAGGTGCTCAGCCTCGCTGGGGAACCTTGGATGATGGTAGAGGCCAGGAGTGCTTTTCCTTCAAGCCTTGGCCAGGCTGGGGCTGCAGTGTTGCCTGCCCTGCTGTGTCAGGGAGGTGAGAAGGATCCAGCTCTTCTGTGGAGGGCAGGATTGGGGCTGGCTAACCTGTAGCTGTGCATCCCTTTGAGCCACACGAAGGCCAGGAGCTGCCAGGTAGAGGAGGTGCCTGCATGCCTAGGGCCATGTGGCTTCTCTCCCAGCCTGCTGAGAAGGGAGAGCAACTGGGTTTTTGTTCTTTACTCTGATTCCTGGAGCAGTGCAGCATAGGAAATGGCTCTTGTGGTGGTTGAGGGGGGAACAGGCAACAGCCGGTGGATTTGTGGCTGAGCCCCTCTCCTTGGGGCTTCCTCTGCACCATGCTTCTCCTTTCCCTGCTGCTCAGTTCAGCCTTGGCCAGCAGTCCCAGCCATGGCCCAGACACTGATGTGTGGGCTGTCACAGTCTGTCTGGTTTCCCCCTTCCTGATTGGCAAGGCAAACTTTCTTTTTCATTTTTATTTATTTAAAAGCTGGCTGTGTGACAGGTTTGTCTCTGGCTAGCTCCTGGGGTGCTGCTCTGAGGGAAGTTTGGTGGTCCTGGGATGCCTTGAGCTGGATTGGCTGGGCAGGAGCTGTGATGGGCTTGGGGCCTTGTGAAGTCAGACTTGTCCTGGGCTGTGGCCCCATGCAGTGGGGAAGGTCCTTCATGGATGGCACAGTGGGCTGGGATTCTTGGCCATGCTGGGATTTACCCTGCTGGGTAGAGACGTGCATTGGCTCTGTGAGTGGGCTGCGAACACAACCAAGAGTTCATGGCAGTGATGTGCTGCAGTGAGACCTGGGCAGGTGCCCAGCTCTCCTTGCCCTGAGCTCTTAGGGACCAAGTCATGCAGAAGCAAGGTGTCAGTGGGTGCCTGGGCTTGCGTTAAGGTTTGGCCTCGCTCTGCAGCAGCTGCTGGCTGCATGTGGGATACCTTTGCAGCCAAGGT